CCTTCTGGCTTTCCCACCAATATCCTATACGGATTCCTCTTTTCCATCATTCGTGACCTTATTGGACTAGATTTTACTATATTCGAAATAATTGTTAATAAATTGTGTCTTTTTATTTTCTAATTTGGTGACTGACTTTATGTTGGGTTCAGAACATTGAAACTACAGTATTACTTGTATATACAGATTTCTGTATAATCAATATAATTGCTTATTTTTAGTTTTCTCACTCAAAATGTTTAAAGGAATGTTAATTGTTTTGCTGTAAGCAGTAATGTGTTCTGCCACAACACCAATTATGCTGAGTGCAGTCTTTTCCTTGTTCTTTTCTATTCCGTGAGGCAAATTCCGTGAGAGAGCCTTCCTTATATTCTGCTATTCATTTTTCAGTATCTTTTGACATCTGTGCGCTGCATGGACGGTGTTACACTCAGGCTCGTTAAACTACAAATAAGCCTAAATGGGGATATATAATTTATTGTGGATTTTTGTGTGATCCGCACACGTTTATCATTTTGAATGTGCACCTTTATTTCTAACTAAAAAAGACGTGTTATTGCCGTTGCTTATGAACTGACTCGTTGAAATACAACCAGATGTAGACACAATGAGTGCAGAGAGTACCAAGGAGTGGGGAGAGAAGCATGCAGACTGACTGAGCCACTTATCGGTCTATTTAATGGTACGTTCTCTAGCCTGTTTCATAGTCTCTGTTCCTCATCTGGAGGAGGAACATGAAGAACGAGAGAGTCTGGTTCGTCATCTGTGGAAAAACAAGAAATTGTTACGTTATTGCATAAGTAGGGTCGACTTGTTTAGGGATTCTTCAGTTTGTAGACATTTCCATTGTCTAATAGTCGGAAAAAACACTTCCGTCGCATACGATTATCAGATTAAGTTCCCAAAGTGTGTCCTTTTGGAATTTTAATGTATGTGCAGAGTCAGAAAACTCAGTTATCCCAAGTGCAGTGTACCACCGTTATAACCCTTTAGGACTGACCAGTTTGTTTTATTTAAATTAATAATTTTGAACTACACTCACGATAAGCCATATGTCATAGACATATTTGCAAGCAATTCATACTAGAATCATATCTCGTACCATGTATATTGTTAGAAAGAACAGGATTTTAAAGGAAATATTGTTTGATGGATTGAAAACTCGAAGCATTAAAAACGCGTGATTATTTCAGTTTTATTTTTTCGTTAAATTCCTTCTTTTGTTTTTGTAATGACAACACAATTTATCAGGATCCCTCATGTTACTGAACTGTAAGAAACGTTACGCAAATTACATGCAGCACATATTATTCAATGTTATTTTCTACATGGTGAATTTCAATGAACATATTAAATCTTATTACTGTTTGTGTTTCCATATACGTAGCTGTGGTGTTAATATTCCAGTCAGAATGCAAATGAGAATATAAAATGTAATAAGATTTCTTATACTGAAAATACCATACAAGTATAACCCATATAAGAATGAGGCCTGAAGGTTTGTCCTGAAAGAAGAAGTGTTTGTTTTTCCTCCATTAAAGCCCAGAAACGAGGTTTACGAACACATAATTTAGAACAGTTAAACATAGATCACTACTGTAACTGTTTTTCTTCGGTTCTGCTAGCTCCGGTAGAGCAATTCGGTTCCTCTCAGGGCGTGTTGATTGGCCACGACTTGGGTGATTAGTGGGGCTTTAGGCGTAGGGAAATCACAACACCAATTAACTATATGGAGTCTTTATTAAATCAGCACTAATTAAATAGAAAGGGCCCGTATTGGTACCCTTCACAGATTCGTGGATGTAGGCTTACTTACTGTTCTGGGGACGCACATTTAATAGTTACCACAGGGCGTGTTTACGGGGATCCGAACACGTGTACCCCCGGTGAGCGTAACTTTCAAAGTCCTTTTGCCAAGCACCCTCTGAATGGTAAATACTTGCCCTGGTTATCCCAAAATTCGGGCAAAGGACCTCCCACTTCAGACGATGATTGGCTGGACCGGGCAGACTGGGAGGTTGCTTATCATTCTCCTCCAATTAGGAAAGTGAATATCCACTTGTGTACAGTTTAGGGGTGAACTTTGCCACCTGCTGCGTGGCTGTCAAACTGAGATTTTGGGTTAGCAGGAAACGAGGCTGCTAAATTTATGACTCCCCCTGTCAAGTTTAGGATTTCTAAAGGACTCGGCCTTGTTACGCATTAAATTAACTGATTTACGAAAGGGCAGCTGGCTTCAAGCTTGACCCAAGCCACTTGCTGCATGTATCAGGGGGGAAAATTTCAAATTGTGAGGCGAAAGTGAGGAATTTCACAAAACCCTAACCATACACAAACATCCATTGACCTTCCCATAAACTGGACAGTTACACTACATTGGACTGAATATATAGAAAATATGGGGAGAGAATGAAAACAGAAAGAGTTTTGGTGTGAAAATAACTTCAGAAAATATCAAATCGGAAAATGTTGGGGTAGAATTTATACTAATATTAAAATTACATCTTAGGGAACCAATGGTGAGGCTGGGGGATGGATGTAACTCGCTCAGGATCGAGTCTGGTAGCGAGCTTTGGTATTATTGTAGTGTTGCAAATTCTGGTTCCTCTACGTCTATGTTATTTACGGTAAAGGCGTTATCAGCATTACTTATACTTGATAAGAACTCTGAAGCATCAAGTGAATGTGGCGTTCCTGCTATGTATCCGGAAAGTTCCCGATTTTTGTTAATAAGAGTAGATTATGATATGCATCTTGTTGTGTGTTATTTACGAAAATATATAATTTGGTACTGTCGCACATAAAATAATCAAAAAGAAACAAAATAGACACTATTGTTCCAACAAATGTTGAAACAGTAGAGTCTATTTTGTTTCCTTTTTGATTATTTTATGTGCGACTGTTCCAAATTACATATTTTAATAAACATGGAACCCTTCACTCAATGTTACATTAAAAAATGTATTGTTTCGACACCCTACCATTCTTGTCATTCATAACTATTGTACCATATCTCGACTGAAAGTACGAAATTAAACAGCTGCAAGATCGAATTCAGAACCTACCTACTCGTATGCCTGCCGCCAGAGTGAGTTTGCAATATAAATCATTTGTAAATCCTGTAAACTGAACGTTCATAATCATATTAGAATTCTATATTAGTATTGTATTAGGCCGCGCCATAAGCGGTTAGTCGCTAGCTTCGCATCGCGGCGTCCCGGGTTCGATCCCGAATCTGGTCAAGTTGGATTTGTGGTGGACAAAGTGGCGCCGGGGCAGGTTTTCTCCGAGTACTTCGGTTTCCCCTGCCAATCTTCATTCCACCAATTGCTCCACAATCACCCTCACCTATCATCTGGGGCTGGTACAATAGGCCGGAATTGGCCGCATTACAAGGGACTTAGTCCCACCCCATTAGCAATAAAAAGAAAGATACATGTATCTATTTTCCGTAGCCGAGCACCTACTTGTAGTTCAGAAGCCTATATTAGGTGACCGAGCTGGTTATTATAGCGGTAAACCTCTGCATTCTTATTCTGGAGGTACTTGGTTCTGATCTCGTATGGAACACTGACAGTTCTCATTCCATTGACTGCTCAATTTTAATTAATCTCTGTATCATGGACGTTATAAGTCTCAATACTGAAAGCTTCGTTAAATAACAAACAAAGAAACAAAGAAATAGCACCAATTAGTCGTGGAGGGTTTTAGCGAATTTTTCAGTTCCTCCAAGCAAATGTGGAGATTAGACCATTGCCGATTCTTTCAATTCGTCACTCTTTGTAATCTTGTTGTTCGGCGCTCTATAGTTAACTTGTCAGTGTCGTAGAACGACACACAAATGACGTTACTGGAGAACGAAAACGATAATTTATCCATTTGTCTCGGGATTGGGTGATATTGAAAACGGCGCAGTTAATTGCACCAAAGTTAGAATAATTACATTCTTCACCATTTCCACTACCAGGTTATATGTATGCATTATGAACACATTATGAGAAGACAGAAGATCATGTACGTACATTCATCATTGTTTTATTTGACACTGGAACAAATTTCCCTGCCGTAAGTGTGAACTCCTTGTTGGCTGTGGCGATGATGAAGGCCAGACAGCGCTGAAATGGGACAGGGGTTCCCACCCAGTCGCACCCCCAGGCAGCGTCTTTTACATTTTCAGCCTGGAGAAATATATATTAATGAAATGACGTGGTATAGGATAAGCTGTGTATTTGTACGAATGAAATATAACATTTGTTCTTACTAGTTCGGAGAGTTCATTTCCAAGCCAGCAGATTAGGCACACGTAGCTCGACAAAATGAAATAGATAAATATAGCTTGAGATACATCAGAAAGGTCTCCCCAGTTCTGTAGGAGCAGAATTAGTGTGTTTATTAAACCCTGTCCACCATAAATACTCGACATACATGTTCACAGATTTCATTAAAATCTTTAATTAATTACTCCGTGGTTTCAGTCCCCAAGCGCACTATACCGACCGAGCGACCGTCGCTTCTCGGCGAAGTTAGTGCCAACTTTGGCGGATAGAAGGTGTCGCGTGGTCAGCGCAACGAATCCACACGGTCGTTAATTTTGGTTTCATAGACCGGAGCCGATATTTCCTTGAAATAGCCCCTCAATTATCCTCGCGAGGCTAAGTGGACCCTGTTCCAGACCCACTACTTCTGAGAAAATCTGATAGCGCAGGGAATCGGACCCAGACTTCTCGATGTGTAGCCAGGAACTCTGACCACTAGACCACAGAGGCCGTCCATTAATTAACAATGGATCATTAAATTAGGAAATTTATGTAATGAGCAGAGAAATTAAAACCATGAATTGGAAATTGAAAGAAAGCTACATATTTTTCTTTGAAATAGTGCAAATAATCTTACTTTAAAGTCACATGATAACTGGCGGAGTAGAAAACTCTTCGTGTTGCTTAAAGTACATTCAACAGTACATTGAAGCGTAAAATTGAGATTTGGGCCTGAGAACCTTGTTATTGTCGTAAGTGGATAGTACAGTAAATAACTCTATAAAATGCGTTTAATGAGATTGACTGAGTTTCCGATTCTCTGAAATGTAATGAGTACTTTACCGTAATGGCTGAGAATGCGATAACACACATCGTTGTTAACAACACCAGAAAAGTACCGCACAGTAGAATATTCCAGACTTCTTCAATGCTCTGCATGAACCTGAACGAGTAAATAAAAATTAGTATTAAGTAATGATGGATCACTGTTGGTCACGGTAGCCGAGCGGTCTTAAGACATGCACTGTCTTCGCTCGCTCGGAAGCCGGGATCGTGGGTTCGAATCCCATTCAGGGTATGGATGTTTGGTGTTTGTATGTGTGTGTGAGAGAGTGATTCCATGTTTCTGTACAGGTAGAAGCCTTGCGACTATGTGATCACCCACACAAGGAGCCCTACCGAATGTCTTAAGATCTAGTAAACCGAAGTGAAACGCAGAGTCTCATGGAGGTAAGCCAAGACCCAAAAAATTGGGCTGTAGCGCCATAGAAAGAAGACAATTTTGGATCACTAGAAATTAGTTGTCAGTTTAAATTAGGATTAACCATACCGTTTTATCTCCTGGTTGTGACGTATGCAGTTGTTCAGTTGTTTCTGCATGTGACGGAACAGTTCCTCTGAGGCACGAGCCTGTTCCTGTGCCTCCAGTAGGTCAGCCTGTGTCCCACAGTCCCGCTCTGCTGTGACGTGTGTCTGTCTGATATCCAGGAGGGCCGCTCTGAGCTTCTCCAGCTGACTGCAGGCTACACACACTAGCGTGGCGTAGAGACCCGACGACCCGACAAGCACACTTGCAATGAGGAGCGAAGCAATACACTGTGAGAGACGAATGACAATGCTATTGTAAAGGAACGAGGTTACAGTGCAACTACTTCCGTTACGGAAATTATATGCAATATACAATATTAAGTACATAATATAATTACACAAAACTTGAATATCCATCTGTTATGAACGTAACTATACAATTCAGAAGATGATTAGTTAATTTTTGAACGTTACCTGGGACAAATTTACCAGTTCATATGCAGGGCTCACAGTTGCATCGAAAGGGTACCACTTGGTGTAGACCATGTCATGACTATGCACCATGCGTACAGTGCTTTGTATTCCGTGAAATACCAAACTGAATACAATGATATTCTTTACAATGACTGGAATCTTTGGGATGAATCCAGCCCGTGTTGCATGTCCCGTGTCAGGATGTCTGGTTGGCAGTTCTTCCCAGGTAAAATATTCCGTCATAATAATCAAATTGTAAATTTCACTTCTGCGAAGCCTGAAAAATAGATTTGAGGAGCTCATAGTTTAGTATTTACATAAGTGAGAATATATAATTGTGATATCTCCAAACAGTAATATAACGTATCGAAGTGAGTGAATATGCGATCTACTTCATCATCATCTGAGACAAGTGTAATATCCTCTCAAAATTCAGCAAGAAATCTTTCGTCAGATTACAGTTACATAGTGAGAAATTTTGCAACCCCGTCCTTAGAACATAATTCGAACGCTTATCACATATTCTAACCCATAAATTTAGCTCACTGGTACACTGTCCAGTAAACTGATAAGATAAATATTGTTACTGATAATATATTAATCTAGTACCGAAAAATGATTATTTCATACGATTTCTGAAAATATGAAAATTCTCGTGTAACGTTGTTCGCAACGGAAATACGATTTTTAAATGAATACTTCAGTTTCATATTTTTTGTTTCCATTGGCTCTATAGCACCCTTGGGCCTTGGCTTACTCTTTTCAGTTTCATGATTATTTTACAGATGATAGGTCAATTTTGGCGTGTTATCAGCTCGTCGCAAGGCCTCTACCGAAGTACAGAACAACATTTTTTTCCTATTTACATAAAATTAGCAATCAGACTTACAAGAACAACATAATCAGAGAAAAAACACATACATATGCCAAATATCTATGCCTTGTGTGGAATTCAAACCCACGATCCCGGCTTCCCAGCTAAAGAAGACAGTACATGCCTTAGGCCGCTAGTTACCGTGACCGGTAGTTTTATAATTAGTGTTAGTAATTTTATGTTACGATATCACATGACCATCATTTGTACACTAAATTTTGTCTCATTCCATTATATTGCATTACACGTGCCAGATCTAGTCGTAATTATAAAAGTCTGGAAATATTTTTCAGGAAATATACTAACACTAATGAACAGGCAGGTAGCCTCTCTAGTCGCCGTATTTACTGTAGATTTTTGTATTATATAACAAAAAGAATAAAGAATACATATTTGAAATTATAAATGTTAACCTTCACAGCTTCATTATAAGTGTCGTATCACTAACGTTGCCCCCCAGCATGATTGTGAGACTGCAGATATTTAGAGTCGCCGCGATTTTTTGTTATAGTCTCGGGGCATTGGTTTTTTTTTTTCATTTGATGCTGATTCTCACCAAAGTTTTTGCTCGAATACGAAGCAGTCCTCCGTATTCGGAAAGTCACGTTTCGTCGTTTACATCAGACCTAGACAAATAACCCTGCACTCGGCATAATATATACTCAGCTGCTGACAGATTCTATAAATAAATTGTAAATAAATTAATATATATTTAATTGAAATATTGACATATTAATATTAATTGAAATTATGCTGACGTCACTTCTAACATCTTGTGTTGTAGAACTAATTGCATGTACGGAGAAAGTTATATTGAGTTTAGAGGTAGGCGGTTACACTGCGGCACTGTGACACAGTGTAGTGCGAGTAAAACTACGAAATTTCGAAGCAGTATACTACTTCCATCTTCACTGTCGAAGAATGAAAAAGACAAATTATTAACAAGAAATCAGGAGGCAAACAGACCTCGCTTCTTGTCTCCTTCTCTTTAATTATTAGCCTGCTTGTTTGGCTTAGCTACCTGACCACACGGTGTCATGTTCCAAATGTAGTAATCTTCAAAGTAACTGTCACATCAAACAAAATTTCAACACACCATTCCTAAATTCTATGCGAAAATACGAGTAATTATACACGGTTGATTTAAACTCAAGATACCTGAAGAAGATATCATTGACTGTGATGAACACGAATGAAAAACATAGTCGAAGGGCCTTCATGAGCTCTTCCAAGTTATTTCTGTTAACATAAATATCCATAAAGCACGAAGCACATGTAGCATAATAGCACACAGCAGCGGTTATATTGTATACGCTTTGGACTCTTGATACGGAATGTGTATCTAGTGGAATCCCCGCCAGTTTGAACAGCAGCAGAATTGTGCCGAAACGACGCTTTGACAGGCCACTTTCAATTGATTTGTCACTCTTCATGTTCCGACTGTTAGACATCGTTTAAAACAGAAATACATGTAAGATATGGTGTATGAACTTTACACTTATACCTAGCTGATTCCTCTAGGCATGTCTGTCAGATACCAGACGCAAAATGTGACTGAGCATTGTGTGCGCAAGGGCCTGTGCTACAGAGTCCAAGCAACTCGGTTATTGATTGGTCGAGGTCATTTTCATTCTAAGGGGCTCTGCATGTCAAGACGGAGTGGAAATTATGTATATAGATTAATTTAAGTTTTCTTTAACTTTTCTGAAAGTCACGAGAAAGATACGTTTCCGTTTCTTTATTAATATATAACAATAAGAAATTCAGATATCGGAATGAAATGGGAAGTTGTTAATGTATTTAAGAAGTTGAGTTACCTCTCTTGAGAAAGATATTATTTAACGTGTTCAGTTATATAAATATATTATTATTATTCTCAAGATTTTATATTATTTATTGTGTCTGTGGATTGATTATGGTATAATAAGATAGAATAATTATTAATAAACTATAAAATACAGTTGTTATTCTCCTGTCTTCACGCTAATGACTTTATCTTCTTCAAAGTCTGATGTACGGATATGACACTCATACTAATTCTGAATATTATGTCGAATGTGTAATTTAAGCGTAAATTATGTTAGTCGTAAATAATATCTATAACATTAAAGAAAATAAATATGTTATGATTGTGCAGAATTTACATATATATCCATAGTTTATTTCTCTGCCATAATGAAATTATACAGTAATTCGAAATCCAAAAACCTTAAAAAAATATTTTGCTCTCTGAAGAAGTATATATCATGTGAACGTTCAGCGAGGAAGTGCTTTTGGTTCAGGAAAATAATTCAAATAAATGTTCATGAATTATTATCATGAAAGCGACTGGAACATCCTTCTAATTAATACTGCTATCACTACTCATATAATTCTGCTACAACTACTACTGTTTCTATTATTATTATTATTCAACTACACTGTGCTCTGTTTGTAATTGGCCTTGCGGCTGTTGACTCGGCACATAAATAATAAAGAATTCAATTGAATTGAATTATTATTGGCGGCCGTACACTGATTTGATGGGCAGGACACGAGCTTTGACATGCGCGAGAGGGAGGGTAACAGTAGTGTCTGCGAGTGGTAGTGACGCACGTAGGGGAGGAACTGGCTCTGTACTGTTATTATTATTATTATTATTATTGGCGGCCTACCCTGAGTTGATGGGCAGGACATGAGCTCTGACATGCGCGAGAGGGAGGGTAACAGCAGTGTCTGCTAGTGGTAGTGACGCACGTAGGGGAGTAACTGGCTCTGTACTATTAAAAGCAAAAACATGAGTAAAGACTGAGTTAGCTATTGAACATTGGACGAATTTTGTGTTTGACTCAGTTCCTTGTCATGATTTTCTACGTCTTCCTCCCTTCCTCCTCCTTCCCTGCCTCACTACTCCAACTCTTGTCATTTTGAAAGTTAGCTGTAACTTGTTCCGAAACAACATCGATACAATTGTGGCATGTTGACCCGTCGCTAGGCAACGACGGCAAAACAGACAACGGCCGTTACTAGGCGAAGTCCCATAAACGGCAACAGAGGAATGATGTTTTCTGCGCAGTCCGCGCACGAGACAATGGCTACAGTAACAGAGGGGTGTTGTTCTCTCTCCGGTCCCTGCGTAGAACAATTACTGCGGCGAGTGCAGTTGAGTTTAGCGAAAAGGAGTGAATTATTTAGTTGACGGCTGCAGTTCAGTTGTTAGGAGCTGATAGCTGAGGCACGGGGATAGTTCGGGAACCCAGAGAACCCTGCGCCGTTTCAAGCCACTACCCGGTAACGACTAGTGAAGACAGCAGATTGAAAATACTTAGTACATTCTGTGGTGAACTGGTGAGTGTGTGAATTAGCGATAGTGCTCTAGTTACTTGTAGTTACAAACCGTACATGGTCAATTAATCCAGTTACTAAACCAGACGCCGTCTGTCTCTAACGAAACCCATATCAGTTAAGTTGGATTAAGATCTGGGTGAAGTGGCCGTAAGCGACGGACAGAGCGACTTTGTTCAGCCTGTAGAGCATCGATTTGAATGTTCTGAATTGTGACTTAACGCAGTTTAATTGGAGAATAAAATTTGGGCTTACACTTCCGTCAGTGAAAGGAATGTCTTGATATAAAACTGAGCATATACTTTTTCGTGTTGAAGAAGTTGAAGCCGGAGTGAGTTGTACATTATGGCCCCGATTTGAACATAAACAAAGCATTGGGAAGGTTAGTCGCTGGCTTCCCACCGCGAAGCCCCGGGTTCGATCCCGGGGTCTGGTTAAGTGGGATTTGTGGTGGACAAAGAGATCCTAGGGCAGGTTTTCTCCGAGTACTTGGGTTTCCCCTGCCAATCTTCATTCCACCAATTGCTCCACAATCACCCTCACCTATCATCTGGGGCTGGTACAATAGGCCAGAAGTGGCCGCAGTATAAGGGACTTAGTCCCACCCCACTAGCAATAAAAAAAAGAGCATTGGGAATGAAGCAATTTTCACTGCCACCCTGTACGATGGACGATTCGCTGCGCTATGAGACAGGGACAAGTACACTGCATTTGTAATATCATCGCCCGAGTCATATTATTTTGCGCGTGAATAGTGAATGTACGTTTTGTCTTTGTAGGCGATATGGCGTCCATATTTCTGTAACGACTTATATTTAAAAAAAATATCACTCTTGCTGCTTGAATATCATCCTTTTCGAAGAGAATTTTCCTGCGTGAATTAGAGAAGGACCTTGTTCTTCGTGGAATCATTTTAGGACGCTGTGTGTGTGTGTCTATATATATATATATAGTAACGTGTTTCGTTACTGAATACGCCGTAGAGATCGTTAATTGGTTT